GTTAGTGTGTGATCTTGTATGAAATGTATCTTCCACCTGATATATGTAGTTGACACTAACGCTTATTAATCTGCGCATGCGTTTAGAGCAAATATTGGTCTTGTTCTAAAGAGAAAAGTACCACAAGGAGAGTAAGGGGCTTTCTGAAACAAATATATAGCTTTTTGAAGTGATCATAGCAGTAAGGTAGGTACATACACCGTCCTTTACACCTTATTTCCATATTTCCATAGTGCCATAGTGCAATAGTGCATTAGCCACATCAACCCCCAAACCATCCCGCTGCGCTAAAAACGCAGAAACTGTCCAAATTGCGAAAAATAGGACAGTTTGTCGCAGCCAATGAAATTAAGCTATTAACCTTCCGAAGATTATCGGAGGCCCCACGAAACCTTCCGAAGATTTCCGAAGATCTACAATTTACTCATACCATCACTGAGGACGGAGATCTCCCGGATAGAATAACAACCTCTGTACTGCAGAGGTTGTTGTTCTATCCGGTCTGTACACTGCAGCCCAACTGATACCCATAGCTATCTCCATCACAGCTCATCAGATCCCCTACACTGCAAGAAGAACATTTCTTACAGTCAGCTCCTTTGGATCAGACGTCTGTGCAGTGTGGAGCGCGATTTCCAGCGGAAAGCACATGAAATGTGTACCTTTTTTGAGAAGCGCGGATACTCTCGCACACCACTCGAAGACCACCTGCAACGGGTGTCGAGGGTCAGTAGGCGTGATGCCATCCAAAACGCCAAAATAGTCACCAACGGCACAGACAGGATTCCCCTGGTGTTCATTGTTGACGTACCATCCTTTCAACAATCACATCAAAAAGATCCTTCTGACGAACTTCAGCATTCTGATGAACGACGAAACCACCAAGGAGATTTTCCCTCTTTCCTCCCTTAACATCCTATCGACGAGACCAGAATATTCGCTATATTCTTGTGCACACTTCCGTGCAAAGTCACCCTGGGTCTCCGGCCGGCACATACCCTTGTGACACCCCCAGATGTCGTACGTGCACTCAGTATCAGCCACCACCATCATCGAAGGACCACGACACAACATCGCCATAAGGGAGCATTTCACCTGTAAATCCGGCGACGTGGTCTGCTGCACTTCATGTCGTCGCTGCCCGGTCCTATACATTGGGGAAACCGGACGCATACTCAGGGAACGCACTGGTGAACACCTTCGAGCTATTACTAGAAACCCGCCCGGTTTCCCTGTTGCGGAACATTTCAACAAGCCTTGACACGGACTAGACGACATGTAGGTTCGCTGCTTAAAACAATACAGGGGTAGTAACAACGCCAGACGCCGTGACGAAATGCGCCTAATTTTTCATCTTGTTACCCTTGTTACGTGGATTTCATTTTCTAAACAGCTTCACGCGCGCGCGCTCAGTTTACTTATCCGTTAGAGTCGTGCGTGGAACTGTTTATTTATTGAATGGCGTGTCCCATTCAAAACTAAACTTAGCACTGAGGAAGGGCTAGGCCCGAAACGTCTGCGATAACATCGTTTTTAATTTGGCACTGAGTTTTTACTATTTACAACTTTTTTACTGTCTTAGATACTATAAAAGAACACGAAAACGAAATCGAAGTTCAAATTCCGTTTTTCAAAGTCTTACGAAAATAGAAGATGAAAAACGGAAATGACAATTGCAATTCTGTTGTACGAGAGAACGAAAAACGAAAATAGAAGTTCAAATTTCCTTTTCCGATGGCGTGGGTAAACGAAAAACGAAACTGGAAGTATGAATTCCGTTTTCCCATGTCGTAGGAAAACGGTCGGCACTAAGGTACACGCATTATTTTCCTTCAACCCATCTGTTTTTGTTTTGTTTTGTTTTTTTTCCTTTAGCATGGATGTGATCGGAAATCCTTCGGCATCGACGTAGCAAAACTCGCAGGAGTTCCTGCAGCAGTTGAAACTCGTGCAAGAGAAATTCTACATGATTTAGAAGAAAAAGACGATAAGCTTGAGGTTACTGAGGAAGAAAAACATACAAGAATGAAAAAGAACTCATTTGAACATCATTCTACATCAAGTGCGGAAATGGCGCCGATTCCTTCCAATGATTTGCAAATTGAAAATGAACTCACTAAAGCGCTTTTAGTACTCAATCCAGAGTTAATAACACCCAAGCAAGCCTTGGAAATTATTTATGACCTAAAAGCAAAAGCGCAGAGTCAATCCTATTGAAGAACTAAGTGGGATCGATGTTGAGAAAACCTAGCAAAGTAATTTGTGTTGGAAGTTGAAGGTTAAAGCTAGTTTTCAAAGTATTGCAAACTTATGTCGGAGGTTGCATAACATAGTTTTACGATAACTGCAGAAATTCTCGCGCGCTCATTAGCTAAGTTTCATTGTCAATAAGCGGACAGACACACCTGAATTTAGAAAATTATGCGATGCGTCAACGTGTGAGAGCGGACAATTTGACTGTTTGTTATCGTAAAAAACAAATTGACGTCATTTTTCATGCGTCGGTCCTGTTATTGACAATGAATTTCGTCATAACATTGTCAAAATAGTCTGCAGATACCCCCGGCTATCGCCTCGTACGTTCGTAGATGTCAAGTATCAATCTTAAAAAAACAAAACTTATCATCATTCAAAAACGCGCTGAGAAATCAAGTTTCTACACAGACTAGACGCTCTAAGAGCGTTTACTCGTGCTTCGAAACGTAAGATCAAGTTGTACTTTTACAAGTAAACTTATTGAACACATGCGGGCCTGACGTCTCCCACCCTCAGCGAGCCAAATGTCCACCGATGACGTAAATACACATTAACCAATGAACAAACAAGTACTGACTTGCGCGCGATCAACGACACACTACTCAGGTAAGTCTTTACCTTAAGACGGGATTTATAGTTCCATCTTTTAGGATTTGGGGTGATTTTCCGTCATTCCGTCTTTTAGGATTTGGGGTGATTTTCCGTCATTCCGGCTTTTAGGATTTGGGGTGATTTTCCGCCGTTCCGTCTTTTAGGATTTGGGGCTATTTTCCACCGTTCCACCGTTCCGCCGCTCTGTCATTCTGGCTTTTAAGGTCGCCCATTTATTGTCACGAAATCAGTCATGCAATCTTTCTCGAGCGAAAAAGCAATTTTAATTATTTGGATTTTTACTCAAGCTAATCGAAGTAAGGAGGAGTCTAAAAGGTCTTGCTTCACATATTTAGAGCCATTCTGACGAGTTTTACTTTCTGGTAGTTTGCTTCCCCCAAAGAGAAATGAAAGGCGGGCAACCCGCTGGCCTGACGGCCCGCACGCAAAACTCCGTAAATTCCACAAAAATGGTCTAATCTCGTCAAAATTGCCTCATGGTAGTTGTCGATAACTCTTCTTCCCATTCGCTTTCTCCCAAGGTTCCAGAGTTTATCTTAACCACCCGAGAATCGCTGGTTTTCCAGCTCTTGCTTCCCATTTCTGCTCCATCTCGATCCGTAACCGATTATATTGGCCACAAGATTTGAATTTCTAGTTTAGTAACCGGACCATCATGACAAAGTCGCCTCCAACCGCCTAAAAAATGCCCGTGCCTCTCAACGGTTGGAGGCGACTTTGTCATGAAATTCAAATTCCTGTGCCCAAGATAATCGGTTACAGATCAGGACAGAGCGAAAATGGAAAGCAAGAGCTGGAAAACCAGCAATTCTCAGGTGGTTAAGATAAACTCTGGAACCTTGGGAGGAAGCAAATGGGAGGAAGAATTATCGACAGCTGCCATGAGGCAATTTTGACAAGATTAGACCATTTTTGTGGAATTTACAGAGCTTTGAGTGCAGGCCATAGGGCCAGTGGGTCACCCACCTTTCATTTCTCTTTAGGGGGAGCAAACCGCCAGAAAGTAAAACTCGCCAAAATGGCTCTAAACCACCTCCAGGAACCTAGAGACATCAAAATTATGCAATGCAAACATAAGGTAAACCATTTTATTCAAATTATTTTCTACACGTAGCATTTAGAGTAATTTTTGAAGCATTCTCATACATTGTCTTATAAACGGCTAAAATTGCAACGTAATCACCAACAGCATAATGTCAGGTATTAATCGTATTCAACGTCTGGGCCGCCTGTGACTTGTCTCGTAGCAAAAAACAGTGTTGCAAGTCTGTGGAATTCTTCACGTATAATGGGTAAATCGTGTGTAAATTAAAATGGCGCCTTCTCATATAATTTAGCATGTCAATGAACTTCTACTTCGACTTCTGGCCATCATTTTCTTCTTAATTAATTTTCCGTGCCAGCGAAGTTCTCTCAATATGAAGCTCAGTGTCGTTTCAGATAGCCATAGGTGCACGGGCACCTTCGGACTTTGGAACTTCGAAATGTAAACCACCTTCGCTTCAGTCAAATCCCCCTGGGAATCCCTTCTAGCTGACTAAAAATGACAGTCTCAGAAACACAGGTAAATATAACAGTACATATATTTTTACCGCTGATCTACATAAATGTAGTGTTCCGGTCCCCTGTGGGTCAGCCCAGAGTAGCATCCTAAAACCATCCAGTCCCATTGTAGCCTCAGGATTAAGGTGAAGCAAGTTAAACAACAGAGTCAAAGTGCTCTAGTAATTTCAATTATTTGCATTAAAAAACAAACATAAGAATAGATCTCGGAGTTGGCCAAATGGAAAATATAATCTTGTACCATGTGAAGAGGAATGTATGTTGTTCCTGGCATTATTTTAACCAATAACAAAGCCATCTTTGAATAGTTCGGGTTGGTTATTGTCAATCATCTTTTTAAATCGATAACAATCGACATTCCTGAAGACAAGAATTATCGATTGCTATCGATTTTTGCCAATCGATAGCAATCAAAACAAATTTTCTGTGAGTTATTGATTGTTATTATACATTGAACTCATTATCTCCTTTCTGATTGGCTGAAAGTGTACAGTGAATTTTCAAAATCAGCACCTGTGACATGATCTAGTGCTGCAGATTATACAATAACCATGTCAGGGACACTCAAGGTCATGGGTAATCATGTCATGTATCACTGCAGTGTATGATTTCTAAGGGTAATCATGTCAAGTTTGTGTGCTTTGTGTTGCTTGCCGTTTAAAAGTGAAGAAGCAAAAACATGACTTTCAGTCAAAGTGTAATAAAACAAAATTTGGTTTTTGCGATATCCAGAATACTCGAGGTCTCGGATATCATCCAATAATAATTGTTTATTAGTATCACCCAACTAGTGGACTAATGCAAATCCTGCATTTTGATTGGCTACGCTACTAGGGGACTATTAGTAATAGTCATTGAGT